ATTGAAGATTTTACTTTTAAGTAACGTCTACACCCAACGTGGGGCTCAAACTCACAACCCCAAGATCAAGAGTCGCAAGCTCTACCGCCTGAGCCAGCCAGGCGCCCCAATGTTGTCACAAATTAACCAAAGTCACGGCTGACACTTTTTTCATCCATGATATTAATGAAATCTTAGGTCAGGCATATGAAAGCTTTAGTAGAAAAATGGATGTCTCTTTTAAAGATTTTATTTTTAAGTCATCGCTACACCCAATGTGGGGCTTGAACTCACGACCCCGAGATCAAGAGTCACATGCTTCACCGACTGAGCCAGCCAGGCGCCCCTGGATGTCTATTTTAAAAACTGCCTAATACTGTCTAATATAAGAGAATACCAAGAGCTGTATGAAAATATATGTTTAATGGACTACATTGAAGAAAACGAAAAATCCATTTACGAGTTTTTTTTTTCCCCCCATTAAAGGAAATGAACAGCCGGGAAGTGCAGCCTGCTCCTGAGAGTGTGAGCCCTAATGAGATAAAATAAATGAAATAGAAGTCTCACAGTTTCAGGGAAGCCTCCTCCATCCTTGTACATCACTTGCTCTCCCCGGGTTGTTACAGTGGATCCCGTTGTGTTGTGGGACACCATTGGGCCCATACAGCCACACCTGTGCGTAGGCGTGCTGTCCCTTCCACTGGGCTCAGAAGGCACACACAGCAATGCGTGCGTCAATGCCTGCGAAGGCTGAGCTCACGGGCTGCGGCATTTGGTGCAGGGATTCACACACCGAAAGGAAAGCCTGAGACCTAACGTATATCCCTCCAGTGGTTGCGGTCTATCCACCTGCCACACGAGTCACAGCAGAGGGCAAGAGCCGTCCTTCTCAAGGTCAGCTGAAGGACGAGCACATCCTCAGCAGGCCCTCGCTGCAAAATGCCACAGCCCATGTCACCACAGTGTCAGCCCTTGATATTTTATTTCTGACCCTTTAGATCCCACGTCCGACAATCAGACAGGGAAAGGCTTCCGGCGGAATGAGTCACGAAGACGAAAGCCAACCGCAGCCCTGCTACCCTGGGTAACCATCAACCCATGAAGACATAAGCAGCTGTAAGTAGGATATTCCCTCTTCTTAGGTGTAGTTTAGAGGCAAAATTAATCTGTTAACTGTGTGGAAAATTTAGATGGTCCACAAAGCAAGCATTTTTCTTTCCTTAACAACGGCCATGCTGTCTTGATTTTAAACCTTACTTATCTCTTGCATAGGCACGGGAAACAGAAAGGAGTGAAAGAAATCTGCATATTCATTACAGAAATTCTAATAATAAACAAGATTACATAATTGAAAAAGAATAAACCTTCCTCATCCCCTATTTTGGAAAGTAGGCCCCTTTTAAAAAGTTGGATATGAACACATTTCTTAGTATACGTGCTGCTGAAGCAAGTACTATGAACACATTTCTTGAGAAGGAATTCTATTATCCTACAGCATTTTGTCCTGATTTTTTTTAAAGATTTTTTTTTTTAATCATAAGGTAAAAGTTTCCAGAAAACCTGAACTGAAAATGTAGCTGGATTTGTGAGGCCCTGTGGGTTCAGCATCAGGATAACCACATCCCGTGGATTTCTGTGTGACCAGCTCTGCTGGGGGCTTTCACACATTCACGTGAACATTTATTTTATATGCTACAGTCACAAGCTTGAAAATCGGTAACAGAATCCTAGAGCCAAGTAGGTACCTGCTTTCTAAGATAAGTCTTATCCATAAAATCAATTTGTCATTATGCTGAATTTTTAATAGCGCTGATTCATATGCCCAAACTTAAAGCCAAGACTTATGATGCACATCGAACACTCCGTTTTAACTCAAAATTCCTATTTTAATGCAAGAAAACTTATGCATGTTCTAATAATGTGTTTGGGAGTTCTTTTCACAATGTAATGGGAGTGATGATACTCACTCATGATTAAATTATGTCATTCAACTTGCTGAGACAACTAAATTATAAAATTATTATAATCATGGAATTATTAAATTACAGAGAAGACGTCGTATATAGCAGTTAAAAGGGATTCATGTTTCAAGAGGGTGGAAACAAAATTGTAGCTCCAAGTGTTTGGAAAATAAGTACTTAATAAGTCCAGAATACTCCGGGCTCCAACTAATCAGGACAAATGGTAATTGGACCTTAACATTTGCGGTCAGGTCTAATGTGCTGGTACCAATGACCTGCTGGTAAGCCAGCTCTCTCTCAGGGAGGAACAAAGCCCGGATTTGCTGTGTCCGCTGATCCCTGTGGGGTAAATATGCCCAGCATGGACTGACTTGAAGCTAGCAACGGTTTAACGGCACATGGGAAAGATTCTCGACCAAGCGGGACCCAGCTCCAACACACCCCTACCTGCGACTAAATCCTGATCCTAAATTTTGTTTTCTTTTTTCTTTTTTTAAGATTTTACTTATGTATTTGAGAGAGAGAGCAAGAGAGAGAGCGTGAGCGGGGGGGGGGCGCGGAGAGTAGAGGGAGAAGGAGACTCCCCGCTGAGCAGAGAGCCTGAGGTAGGACTCGATCCCAGGACCCTGGGATCATGACCTGAGCCAAAGGCAGACGCTTAACCAACTGAGCCACCTAGGCACCCCTGTTTTCTTTTCTTTCCTTTTCTTCCCCTGTTTTCTTTTCTAATAACATATTGTGAGCTCAGGCAGCAACCCTCTTATCTTTAAGACTTATGGACAGTGTCCCAACACCGAGTAGAGCGATGACCGGCAATCCCCTCCCAAAGTAGATCTGTGATGATCTCAGCCGACCTACCCAACCAGTACTACCCAAGTCCATACAGATGAGAGTCACACTTCCCCCACGCACCTCTGCATTCCCAGCATTTGACGCTGCCGGCCGTGCATCATGGTCTAGACTGTAAGAGCCGCCCGGCAGGGCATTTGGTCTGTTTTGCCCACTGACAGACACTCATCCTAGCACGGAAGGTGCCCCATAGCAGGTGCTCAAAAATATTTGTAGAATAAATAAATAGATGCAGTACTGGATAGACACCCCCAAAGCCATGGGAGATCGCGGACAAACGCCGTTACCGAGTTTCAGATATAACATCAAAGCCAAGTAAGAGATGGGTCATAAAAACCGTGGTGTGTCATGACTCCTTAGCTGGACGGATGCCTCCAGCACTGAAATACCGCCCTGTCTCCTTTCCTGTTGCCGGTTCAAGGCAGCAGATGTTCAAGAATTGCACAGGAGGAAATGTTACTTGGGTGTGTCTGAGAAGCAAATTTTAGCCCAGCTGCCTGTCACAGTCTGGGTCTTGTTTTTCTCACGTACTCTTATTTTCTGTCTCTCTCTGTCCCTTTTGTCTTTCCTCCTTCACAGAGTGTGTTTCTCTAGCCCCTGATCCAATATGTTCCTTCTGGCTTTTCCGACTGGGGGTCATGGAGGGGGGGTGCTGGCTTTACAGAAATGCAGTTCTGTGAGGTTCAGGACATGCTATCGCATTTCTTCAATCAGCCAAGAGTCACAGAAACTTCATCCTGTGCATTTACGGCTCCATGTAAACACAAGCGGGAAGGAGGACACCTCCAATTCATTGGAAGACTCACAACTGACTGTGTCGATTAATCTGAACAAGAAACCGTGTCCCTGCGGATGTTTGGAATTACAGACACACTGACGAGATCAGTATAAAGAACGCTTCCTGGTCTAGAACCCTAAACTCATGCTTCTCTCATATTTGTCTTCTGGGAAACATTGCAAGGAAGCCAGCCGGGTTTAAAGTAGAAACTCTGAAGGGTAAACCTACTGCGATTTCTGTGGCTAATGGAAGGGTTGTGATTTTCCACTTGAAACAGAATGGTGAGGCTGCTCTTGAAACAAGCCCTTGGCGAACTGGCTGGGTGCGCAGGGTGGGGAGTGGGAGGTGTGGAAAACCAGCATGAACGTCATCCTGAGTTCAACAGTGAGCCCTCAGGTGGGAGGACCGGCAGAGTGTAGCCTCCCGAAGCAGGACCCAAAGCACAGCACAGAAAAAGGGGAGTTTTCTTCCACCTCTGAAGATGAGACGGGAAGTCCCTCCTCAACATCTACCTGCCGCACGTACAAGCTGGCAGGGACCCGTTTTCCACACACCCCCATGTCTCTTCGCGATCTGAACATCACTACGATTCTAAGTTTAAAGACACGGGGAAAAAAACATCTAAAGCCTATCCCTGCACCGAGGATTATCGCTCGGTTGCCTTTGCTCCTTTATGCCTGGGACAGATACAACCCCAAACTGGTATTGGAAGACCCAAACACCATCCCGATTCCGGTGGAGTGCATGGTGCAAAGAACGCCCAGTCTGGGATGTACGAGGACCTCGAGGCATTTGAACTGAACGTGAAAGGTCTGAATCTGGCTCAGGCCCCACCATGGCTGAGTCTTTGGAGAGAAAGTCACAGAAACATCTAAATGCCATTCTGCTTCACAGCACAAAGCTCCAGGAGGGCACAAAGTGCTAGAGAGCGGGCACAGGGGTGGTGTTTCAGGGGGGCATTGGATGGCGGGTGCTGCTAAGCTGCTAAGCATTCCCCAAAAGGCAAGAGAAGGAATGTCCTTCCAGGCAGAGGATGCACAAACACAAGTTGTGTGCCCCCTAAAGTGGAACGTTGGTTTGGCTCCAAGTCACAGCGAGAAGGGACTTGTGCTATGGGCTTGAAGCTGGGCAGCCAGCCAGCAGGCCATGAATGATGGGGACCACTGTGCCCTGGCTGCAACCTGGGGCTTCCTCTGCCTAGGAGGCAGAACCACTCACAAGTCAGGGTCAGGGTCCGCTGACGTCGGTGTGCCTGGACTGTGGCAAGACCAGAAGGAACAAGACAAGACAGGAGGAGGAGCTCGAAGCGAAGCACCGTGACATGCGGACACATCCCCCAGCCTTCACAGAGCAAAGCGCTCTTGCCATCTCATCTCCTTGCACGGCCCCGATGGCGGACGTGCTAGAAGAGTGCAAAGGTCTGTTTTACTCACTGTTCCGAGGGCGCCAGCGCACAGCGTTTAAGTAGAAGTTGCAGTAATGGAAGAGAAACTCATGGTCGGAGAGTTGGGTCTTCCCTTGAAGCAGTGGCATGAGGTCACGTCCATCGATGATTCTGTAGGACAAATCAGACAGGCATCAGCTGGGGAACGGCCGCATCGTCTTCGGGCTAAATTGCCCCAACCTTTGACTTGTCCTTCCAGCAAATGAGAGCATGAGAGAGTCACATAGTTATAATCCAGCAACCAACACAAAGAACACTCATTGACCCCTGTCGGGCACCCTATGCAACTTCCTGAGGCCAATTCTGCTCTTGCATGAACTCATTTAATCCTGCACCATGAGTTGGGACCATTATCATCCTGTGGTGATGAGTTGAGGAGACATCAATCAGAAAGCGTACATGACTTACCCGAGGTCATGGGACTGGGACCAGCCCATGGGATGCAAACCCAGCTGATTATTGGGTATCAGTGCTCTCTACGGCTCTCCCTGCTGCTCATCCTAAACCCAACTTCTGCCTTTTGCCTTGGCACAGAGGAAGCTTCACTCACAAAGTACATAGCTCCATGGAAAATAAGAACATCTAACAATTTAGGTGACAAAGAGGTAATACAGAGCACGGGCACAACTTGGATTGGATAGATGTCCGTGGAAGCACACATCTAAATCGGAATGAACTAATTTGTGAATAGCTACTAATGACGATGACACTAAACACCCTCTGGATGCACTGTTCCCAGATGCAAATATCTCTTCCAGGCCTGCATGTGTAAGTAGACCAAGGGGAAATTTCCAGACTGCAAACATTTGATAATATCCAATTGGTTATGAGCAAAAGCAGATTATTTGGCATTTAAAGAAAGGAAAAACGTACATTAAGAGCCACTAGACCAACAGAAGCCATTGATACCATCAGGCCCCATCATTAAAACTACAGACACAGAGTGACTTTGAAGGAGTCAGATGGTCTCACCTGAGGATTATCTTCCTCTGATTAAAAACACCCCATCCCTACCATCCCTTATTATGAGGAATTTAGAAACTGGAAGGCAGAGCTGGCTATATAATTTGGGTTAGCATTCTTGAGAGGCCCCGCATCCCTTGAGCTTTGTGTGTGGTTTATTTTGGTGTCCCTAAAACCCCCGTCCTATAATTACAGCCCTGTTGCTTAGCACTTCTCCAGCCCCCACCCTTGTTATTAATCACGAGCTCCGCAGAAGCCTACGGACTGAAAATATTCTATTATTGTGAGCTAAAAATAAGAACAAAAGGCAGACTTGGCCCCCTTCCCAAGCCCCCGCTTCCGTTCGCCATGACAGGAGGAGAAGGAAGCAAGGTAGAGAGACACTTCTGTTGAGAAACGGTACACTCTCTGAAATACTCTTTCTACCCCGAAATGGCGGTCATTGTGCTTTGGTCCTTTCAAATCCCTTTCGAGAAAGACTCAGTCTGTACTAATATGTAACCCTGAATACGGTGGAAAGAAAGGAAGTGGTGCACTAGAGTGAGCAGGTGTAAGTGTCTGAAGAGAAGCCCCAAGCAGTGAAAAATGACCCCGAGGATGGGACAGAGGGATGCAAAACGCCCCAACCCCCCCACTCCCGGGACCTCTACCTCATGTGGAGAGCAGGCCTTTCCAGGACCATTCGGGATGGAGAACCCATCTTCATTCCCAGGACACAATCTCTACCTCTATCTCCTTGTTCTTTGGATGTAGACCTAGGGCTCATTTTTTTTTTTTTTTTTTTTTTTTTTAATATCCGACACCTAATGTGCTCATATTGTTAGAAGCGGGCAGTAAATCACACGGCCATGGAGAGCCACCATTGAAGAGAGCTACAGAAATATGACCCGTCAAAAGCGGCTCGTTTCTGCCATGAAAAATGGAAAGGGACCCTACTCGCGCTCAACTTTTAAATGGTGTCTAAGCCATCAAAACACTTGGGATTGTTTTAAATCACGTGTGTGAGTCACAGTTAGCCGTGGCCATAAGCCGGAGACAGCACATGACCCCTGACGTTGCCCGTATAGAAATGTTCCCATAACGTCACAGCCTGGGGCGCCGGGGCCGAGGTTCTCTCAAAGTGACAGGAAGCCAAATTCCACGCTCCTCGGACGTGATGTTGAATTTGGAGAGTGAGGTAGGAATATTCCCCATGGGCTCCTGTCCCACAACACGGTCATGGTTTCAATCATTCCTTTCCAAGCACTGTGCAGTTCAGAATGTCAGGTCAGATTAAATACCGCGGGGACGACCTTCACATCACTGCAGAGAGCATGTTTTGGGAATGTTCCTTGGGCTACAGTGACCCTCATTCCCCAGTGAATGTGCTGACCTCTCTCTTAGCTCCGAACCAGTGAATCGTCTGCCCGAATGTCCTTGCCTCTGCCTGGCCGGCTCTCAGAAGGATTTGGGGATCATACGACTAGAGAAAGCTTTGGGGGTGAGAGGACAGAGAAGAGGCAGTTTTGGGGGACAAAGAGGTTAATTTGGGGCACAATGTTTATGAGCTACCTCTGCGATATTCAAAATAAAGTGATTTCTTCAATGTAGAAAGTTTATCTTCCATAAACTAAGGAAAATCCCAAGTAAACAGAAAGATATTTTCATAAAGGAAACCCCAAGTAACCAGAGAGTTATAACCTAAAAAACGCCTCCCTTTGTACTCATTAAACTCACTGCCTAACTTGAACATAAAGGTCAACCATAAGTGGTGGCGCATACATGAAGAGTTTCACCTTTTATTCTGCAAAATGCAGAAGAATTAGTTTTATTTGTAGGACTCTACTGAAATACTCCTCTACAGCTATCGGGCAGCAAAATTAAATGGGAGAATGAAGTCACTCCCCTTGTCTTCGTTACACAAAACCGGTATCAAGCATTCAAGCACTGATTTCCTTTTTTAACTTGAAAAAAAAAATCACGTTTTAATTTTATTTTCTTTATGAGAGATGAGACCTAAGTATTTCACCTTTTGTAAAGTGTGATTTTCAAGGATGTTGGCACCCCCCCCCCTTTTCTTCCCGCTCAGCTGAACCATCTCTGGCCAGAATTTGGATGGTTTCCAACGGTTTAACCAATTAGGGCATGTTGCAATTCTTCATCACCAACATCTGTGAACGAGGAGCATCGTCATAGGCTTCCTCTGACAATATTCTATCTGCTTGCAAAGATGTGACTGATGGTAAGGTTTTTCATTTTCGGGAATTAATACATTTCATTATACATTCTTCTTATGTACATCCGTGTTGCATATGTTTAATATCACACACACCAAAAAAGGGTTGCCCTCCCTTTATTTCCAGAATTAGCTCATTTGGAGACACAGGGGGAACAATTTTTTCTGAACACACCTGGGGTAATGGCCACCAAAATTCTTTTGATAAACTGTGCCGCTGAATGCAAATGGATCAGTGAATTATGCGTGAAGGAACAATTCACGGCCGGAGAGGAATCTCATGCGGGCACGGCACGGGGTCGAATGAAAGAATTATTCTCACAGTAGCACTGAGACTCTGCCGAGCAAGTATCTCTTATGCGTATCCCCGTAGCCCTGCTCTCTTGACCGAAGCAGAAACCCTGCATGCAAGGGCTTCTCATCCTTCGTCGAGCTCTGATTGGTCAGGAAGGTCACCCACCAGACTCAAAATGGTTCTTGAGAATGACAAGGTTGTACCTGAAGGCTAGGGGTCTTTTGAATAGAAATCCTCCTGACCCCACAAAACACACAGAAAGATGTGAGGGCATCTCATTAAGTCCTCGTCAGACAGCTTGGGGTCCGACCCTTCCAATGAGTTTATTCTCCTGAGAAATGTAAATTTAATACTGCTCATGCAAGAAATCAGGGAAGCTGACCTCCACCAATCTTTGTGGGGGAGAGTTAAGGCTATCTTCTAAAGAATAGATATTGTGAATCATTTATAGATGGACATACATACGGGGATATTGTCCAGATGCTTTCACTGAAAAGTTTTGATGACGTGAATGCATCATAACAATATTTTCCATAAAAGAGCAATAGTGAGCCTGAGAGCAGAATCTGTCAACCCCAGCACTACTAATATATTTGGCTGAATTATTCTTCGTTGTGGGAAGCTGTCTTGAGCTTTGTAGGATGTTAAGCAGCATCCCTGGCATCTGGATGCCAGTAACACTGAGTTAAGACAGTCAAAAATATCTCCAAGACATGGTCCATGGGCCCTGGGAGAAAGTCACCCCAGTCACCCCAGTGAGAATCACCAAGTTAGATGTTCCCAGTCTTGAGGGCAGGTATATGAGGATGTTTTCTGGACCCGGTCGGTAACACGATTTAAATCAGACATTATGTGACTAATTCTGTTTCCACGAAGGGTGTGGACAACGCAGAGTTCTGTTTCCTTCTCTGTGCGGTCTCCAGGATGATGGTGGCATTCTCTGGGGCCTTACAGCCCCACCCAGAGACAGCATCGTTGCACTGAGCTGGGTCAACACGCATCAGTGAGATCCATGAAAAGCATCTTCCATATTGCAAAGGCAGTTCTTACCAATGTCTTGGCTCCCACATGAAATATTTTGGGCCTGCTGAAGAGGGAGGCTGCTTCTTTCTTCCCTGGGCACATACAATGAAAACAGACTGACCTCCATGAGCCTCAGATTGGCATGGGCAGGAGGCCAGAGCCACAAGATCTCCCTCAGCGGATTTTCCTGTTCGCCTCTGACCTTTCCCTTCCCTTGTTTTTCCCCAATTGCATCGAAGCCCATTTAAAGATACCATGAAGGCAAAGGCAGTGCTGATTTTAAGATTATGAGCCATGAGAGAAAAAGGTCATTAATGAAATGGCCTGAACACTCTGTGTGCACTACTTAAGGAGACACCAAGTCTTACTCCAAGGGTAAGAACAAGGGCCCATGAGTAGATGAGACGGGGCGTGAGATTTCTGGCTTCACATAAGGTAACACTTTTTATGACTTCTTGCTGTCATGTTTTCCGTCGGTCACTGAGGTAGCAAAGGACTAGTTTGAGCAGAGTAAGTCCTAAAAGTGCCCTTCAGGCCTCCCCCTTTAGGATTCTATGATCCCAGATGATCGTTGACTGTGGAAGAAGAAAGAACTGCGCTGATGGACTTCTTCCCTCTCAATGTGGTGGGAAACCCGACGATGGCCACCATTCACGCGCTTACATGCTCTCCTGCTCTGAGTCTTCCCAGGGCGGCTGCAAGCTCAGCGCCGTGACTGAAGCCACGTTCCAGATGAGGAATCAAGGCCCACGAAGTGAAACACAGACCCAGCAGGGAAGCCAAGATCAGAACCCAAGCAGGACCCCTGCTCTTAGGCACAGTACCAGATGCTCTCAGAGTGTGGCCCAGAGAACCACAGGCACCCCCAAGACCCTTCCATGCGGCTCACACAGCCAACACTGTTTTCATGAGAATACCAAATGCTCTCTGCCTTCTGAGCTATGGCTCCTGCAGGAGCGCATGGCGTGTTCTTCCAGGGGATTCACAGCAGGTGACGACATCATCACTGTCCACGGATGCAAGGTGCGCTTGGGCACTTGTGTGTGTTCAGAATTTTTTCAGGTTTAAGGCCTCCTATGATAAACGTTGACAGACATAAGCCACATATACAAAAGGTGCTTGGGTTCCTCAATGACGGAAGAAGTACATGGGTGTTGAGACCGCAAGGTTTGCGAAGGGCTGAGCTGTCCAATGTTGCCTGGTCTCTAGTGTGTGTGTGTGTGTGTGTGTGTGTGTGTGTGTGTGTGTGTGTGTG